TTATGAAGATTGGAAAAACTTTGGCGGTTGTTGTAGAACAAACAGAATAGCTCAAAACCCCAACGCCAAAACACGACACTGTAGTTGTCCGAAGCACTTTTCGGTAACAAAGTTACCTTCTTCAGGGACTGAAGTAAACAGTTTACTTCAGTCCCTGAAGAAGGTAACTTTGTTACCGAAAAGTGCTTCGGACAACTACAGTGTCGTGTTTTGGCGTTGGGGTTTTGAGCTATTCTTTTTGAATAAACACAGAAAAAAGCATGGATCATTTTTAAAAACATCTAGAATTAATAGCATCATAGCAAACGCTAAACACTAATAAATTATTAACACCATCATCTCTCTTTTCTCGGTCAAAATAGCAAATAGGAATTAGAAGGAGAAGAGGGTAGAGTGGGTAGAAGAAGGCATAGATTATATTAATGTTCATAAATATTTGGAGGGTTGACAAATGTTCCAGTTTTCAGGATAAGGACAGAAGGTGGCGTCCGACCAATTTTCAGCATGGAGACTTTGTGATAATGAAATAATTTTACGGTCTAAATCTTCTAGAGCATTAAGTACCTATTGATTTTCATATTTCACATTAAGATAAATTGTATAGCACTTGCTTCAAGGGCTCGAAAGTAATAATTGTACGAATGACTGTTTGAAAAATGGCACCACATCTTCACGAAAACCGCCCCTTGCCTTATTATTTGAATCTAACACTAGTTTCTGTCCTTTCAGATATCTTGGATGCCATCCCTGACAAGACAAAACTCGCTAAGTTCCCAAAACATTCCTCAAAACAAAATAAGTCCTCTGAGTTCTTCTTTTACAAAAAACAATAGCCCCACTTTGCAAAGAAAAAATAGTAGCAGCGCGGAACCGAAAGCAATTAATACATTCAAAAGAACATTTTTAGATAAATCATTGCCGAAAATCAACTTCGAAGAAGTAACTGCCAAGGCTGAACAAAAGGTTTCTAGGATCAAACAGTTCCTTCTGATGGTGGAACCTAAAGGGTGCATGAAGGAAAGGGAGGAGTTTTCTTTGTACATATTTCCCCCAAATAACAGGTTAGCATTGCTCATTATTTGTTGTTCGGTACGAAAACTGGAAAATGTTTCTAATGAAAGCAAAACTTTTTGAAAATCATTTGTTGTTTTATAAATAAAATCCTTGCAGAAATTTTCAGAATATCAAAAATGTATCTATGAAATTCCTTCAACCTTTAACGCACAGTTTCAAAGGAAGAAACCACGTCTCTTTCTCTTTTTTAATCTAAACATTAAAGTACAGCTCCTTATTTTTATTAAAGTCTAAATCAAAAACGTTTTTTATAGATTTCGCCAATTTTGTCATTGGTTGGTCGACCAAAAATGGTTTGACAACGTGGTGCTGCTCTTCATTGCGATGAACTGTATAACATTAGCCATGGAACGCCCAAATATACCCCCAAAAAGTACAGAGCGTTTATTTCTTCAATCCACAAACTATATTTTTACTTTCGTATTTGCCGTTGAAATGGGCGTCAAGGTACAATATTAATTTTCATTTACATCCAAAGTAAATCATGTTGTTATTATTTAAATGATCGAATGGTTCATATTTCAAAACTAATAAACCCTAAAAACCAATGTCACATTATTTTAGACAAATTGTTGTAGGTTGTGGCTTGTGGTATGTGTTATGGTCCAGATGCTTATTTTACTTCTGGCTGGAACATAATGGATGGTTCTTTAGTAATAATTTCCATTGTGGACTTACTGATGTCGTTAATAAGCGAGTCGAGTCCTAGAATTTTCGGAATATTAAGGGTTGGTTTCCGGTACTCATTTCTGATTTTTCTCTTAAATATTCTTCATTCAATTTTTAGGTTTTTCGCCTTCTTAGATCTCTTAGGCCTCTGAGGGTCATAAACAGAGCTCCTGGACTCAAGTTGGTAGTTCAAACATTGCTTTCGTCTTTGAGGCCCATCGGAAACATTGTCCTCATTTGTTGCACATTTTTTATCATATTTGGGATACTAGGAGTGCAGGTGATGTCCAGTCAGCAAAGAAAAAACGTTTTCATCATCCTTCATTGTTCTTTATTTCAGCTCTTTAAGGGTTCGTTCTATTATTGTACTGGTAGAAACATAACTGGTGTCAAAAATAGAACAGACTGTTTAGCAAGACCAGGAAATTCGTGGGTGAACCAAAAATACAATTTTGATGATCTTGGTAAAGCCCTAATGTCCCTGTTCGTTTTAAGTTCAAAAGACGGCTGGGTCAACATTATGTACACAGGTTTGGACGCAGTAGGAGAAGACCTGCAGGTATAACCATTGCTTCATTAATGTTGTTGCCCGTTAGATATGTTCATTTTACTATAATCATTTTCATGTTTGTTCTTGGCCACCAATTTTTCATCTACTCGCTATAGATCGTACTTTCAGTCACTTGAAAATTATTTTCAGCCCATTATAAACTATTCTGAATGGAGGCTGCTCTACTTCATCGCATTCATCCTCTTGGTCGGATTCTTTGTTCTAAATATGTTCGTTGGAGTTGTTGTCGAAAATTTTCACAGGTGTAGAGAAGAGCAGGAGAAAGAAGAGAGAGTCAGGAGAGCGGCCAAAAGAGCTTTGCAACTTGAAAAGCGCAGAAGAAGTAAGACCCTTCTTTTACGGTCATTTTTCACAATTTACTTTAACAATTAACGTCTTCCGCCCACAGAGATGAATGAGCCACCTTATTATATCAACTACTCCCCTTGGAGATTGTTCATCCATAATGTTGTGACCTCCAAGTATTTTGATTTAGCTATCGCGGCTGTCATAGGTCTCAATGTGGTCACAATGGCCACCGAAAGTTACAAAATGCCCGAAATATTGAACTACGTGCTCAAAATCTTCAACTACTTCTTCACGGCAGTCTTCATACTTGAAAGTACCATGAAACTTACGGCTTTAGGATTCAAATTATACCTAAAGGTATGTTCCAATTACGATTCCACACGAGTACCTAGCTATCATTAACATCGACCTCTTAATCGTTCTCAAATGTATTCAAAATCAAAGATTATCAAATTAAATTTCGTTTAGGACAAGTGGAACCAACTAGATGTAGCCATTGTAATCCTGTCAGTGGTAGGGATCGTTTTGGAAGAGCTGAAATCCAACATAATTCCAATAAATCCAACGGTCCTGAGAGTAATGCGAGTGATGAGAATAGCAAGAGTATTAAAACTACTGAAGATGGCTAAAGGTATAAGGGCACTCCTGGACACTGTAATGCAAGCACTACCACAGGTGGGAAACTTGGGTCTTTTGTTTTTTCTTCTCTTCTTTATTTTTGCCGCTCTCGGAGTGGAATTGTTTGGAAGGCTGGAATGCTCTGAGGAGCATCCATGTCAAGGTAAAAGTGAACTGTGGAATTGAACAAACCACTGAGTAAAGTGTGTATGTGTGTGTCCTATAGGTCTTGGAGAGCACGCCCATTTTGCCAACTTTGGTATGGCATTTTTAACATTGTTTCGAGTTGCTACGGGAGACAATTGGAATGGAATCATGAAAGACACACTTCGAGACGATTGTGATGATGCAGCAGATTGTGTTAAAAATTGCTGCGTTTCGGCCGTCATTGCTCCATTGTTCTTCGTTATTTTTGTACTGATGGCGCAGTTCGTTCTTGTGAATGTTGTCGTTGCGGTAAGTCAAAATTTATATTCAACTGGTGTTGTTCTGATTCGGGTTGCTTCCTAACGTTTCGCTTGCAAGAGAGTCGAACTTCGTCAGAGACCCTTCCATCTTCGCATCCAGTTTACCAATCGTGCTAGCGAAATTTTGGAAGCAATTCCAAACATTTTTTTTATTGTTGCCAAGCTTCTTAAACTTCTATATCATTCATTAACGATAATAATTGAAACTTCATTCGATTGAATTTCACTATAGCTGCCAAAATAAATTTCCAAAGTACGTTTTTTAAGACCCTACAACTAACTAACTATGGTTAATAAAATTATTTTTGGTTTAAAATTTCAGATTAATATTGACCATGATATAATTTTCATTTGAAGTAAACCGAGAAAGTAATAGTGCTATCTTCTCAGGTTCTTATGAAACATCTTGAGGAGTCCCATAAACACCTCGAGGATGAACAAGACATGGACAATCAGTTGGAACGAGAATTCCAAGAGAAGCAAGAACTTGAAGAAAGAAGAGAACTCTGCTTAGCACTTCAAATGGACTCGGAATGTACCAAATCACCAAAGAAAGCATTAACCAAGGTAAGAACTTAAATTTTATAGACAATCGGAAGTAAATATGAAACGAGGACCACAACTTTACATAGAAAAAGATCTGAATTTTTAATAGTTGTTCATAAGACAAGTGGATAGAAACCACATCCAAATAGGTCTACCAGATGATACTCATCTTTCGTCAGCTTTTAGATTTTCCCTATAATTTTGCTCAACTACTTCCCTAATGTTGGGAGGGGGTGCCAAACTCATTACACAATTGAAAAAAAATTAAAGAAAATTTAGATCAGTCTTAATCCTTATAAACTAAGTGACCTTATTGTAATCCCCAGAACGTAAATCTTGCACCATGTTATCAGTTTACGTTACAATCCATTTAGGTGCTATCTCTTCCGGCGAATTTCACTTACAACCCACCAGGATCAAAAGAAAGATTAGAACGAAAACCCTCTAAACCCAGGGTACGCCGCCAGACCCTCCACAGTCAACAACCGATCACATTAAATCTTGAAAATCTAGATGACATCAAAGTAATTGACGAATCGCTGTCAGATATCAGCAAAATGCTGGATTTACCATCAGTAAAGACACATTCGGTTTCGAGAGAATCCTTGACACTTGATAAACCTTACGAAATAAAAGAAAAACACGAATATGGTGAAAAGCATCCATCCAAGAACGTGAATCAAATGAAAGATTTCAATCGTTTAGCGTTACCGATTGAACAGAAACATGCGCACAAAATGTACGGCAGCACAAAACATCTATTCCACAAACAGAAGTCGATAGAGGACAACGACGAGTCAACGTTCCTGTTGACAATCCCCTCCGTTTCATTGAACACAACAGAAAGTGAAATAGACAATGAAAAAACTGAGATAGAACTAACAGCGCCCAAAATTTTCAAACACGACTCCCAAGAAAGTGTCCACAGGATAATTAAAGAAAGACGAAAGCTGGACGAAACCCTTAAGGATGTCAATCAACATGACATCTTCAACACCGCGCAGAGTAGTGAGGAAAGAGACTCGAGTAGAACTAGTGCCGAACATCCGAGTATAGAAGAAGAGGAAGAAGAAGAACGGAAAAGTGATGAAGTCGAACACGTGTGTTGATGGAAATTTTTTTTTGTTTTTGTATCATAATTTTTATCACAAATTATTATTGTTTAATTCATGTTAACAATTTTATTCAAGTGTACATACTGCTGTATAGATATAATAACAAATAATAATTAATATTTGTTGTGTAGAAAG